ACTGGTTATGCGCCATTGAGGCCATTGACTCCGATTTTCAGCCTGCTTTTCTTTTTGGATTTGCTTCCATAGCCTTTGTCCAACCAAGAACAAACTACAAGGCAGCAGTTGTTTTAAATTTGGAGTTGCCTCTCCTAGAAGAGTGGCTGTCCCCAGCTAACGAGCCTCATCTGCCCGAGGGTTCGAACTCGTAAAACACCGAATTTTGATAAATCTTGATAAAGAAATTTTGCCCAATTAAAATAAGTCCCCTATACTCCGTTTATGATGAAATACTGAGAAGTAAAACGGTGGAAACTGTCAAAATTTCATGTGCTTTTTGTTCACGATTACAATACTTCCTCTATACTCTCTATACGAGAAAGTAAAATGGGAATACCGACTCGTGTTAAAGTAAGAAAACTTGTGTGTATGATTTTGTAAATAACAAAAAATTCGTGCTTTTGCTTCAGTCATCTAGATTCTAATTGCTACAAAATTTAATATTGATTACAAGTTTGTATATTTGTCAGTCAAGAGATAAAAAAAAAAAACTGAAGTATATGTAGAGTTTTAAATTTGATGCTTTTATAGAACAAAAAATGGTGTTTGAAATGAATGTATATTTTTTTTTAAAAAGATGTTAATAAATTGAATGACATTTTCGGGTTTAAAAAGTCACATATTAAATTATACAAATGAACAACAATGACTTAACTTTGCAACTCGCATAGAACTGTTTCGCATCACAACTAAAAAAGGCTGTCCAATGTTATTATTGTTGCCAATTAAAACGTTTAATGCATTTAATTAGTTTAATGCATTATTTATTATCTCTGCTTTATTCATAGATCTATTTGTTTTATTTCTAGTAGGTGTGGCTTAGCGGTAGAGATCTAAACTGCTAACCCGAGAGTCTCGAGTTGGAATCCGGGTTCAAGTCAGTAGAACGTCCCAGAGTCCACCCAACTCTGATGGGTACCTAACTCACGTTAGGAAAACAAAGGCGGCTCGACATAGTGCTGACCACACTTTCCCCTCATATACCGAAGTCAATGAATTAGATGAACTGCACTTCATCCGCCCCATGTGTCCTAGGCACGAACGGGTCTGAGAAGAAAGCTTCAACAATCTTATAAATTTACAATAGAATATTCTCTACAAGCTCGCTGTTGTTCCGTTACACTTGCTTACATTCCTTTTTTTCATTGTTTGTTTTTGTTTTTGTTTAAGTTAATGTTATCCTTTGAAATGGTTTGCTATTAAGGCAGTGGCGTAGGCAGGGGGGTGGGGTTAGGGGGGTCATAACCCCCCATAGACCCCTCGGTATATATATAAAATGTATGGGGGGGGGTGCAAATCGTAAGTTTGAGGGGTGTGCAAATCGAAAGTTTGTCCCCGGGTAAAAATTGGAGCCCCCCCCCCCCTTGAGACAATCCTGGCTACGCCACTGTATTAAGGTATAAAAATCTAAACACTCTTACATGATACCATTCCGATAATTTAAAAAAAAATATTTTATGTAATTCTTATTTTTGAAATTTCGTCAACATAACTGAAAAGGTACTCAAGTTATCGTGTTCACAGACACACAGACAAGGCGCACATACATGCAAACAATTTCAAATATGTTTTTCTGACTCAGGGAGGTGTAAAACGTCGACGTTTGTTAAATATCTATTTTGATATTTAGCACGATTAACAATACTGTCTGTCTACAGTGTACGAGAAATTAAAAATAGTAAAAATTATTGTGTTAAAGGGAAGTAACTAATTTATCTTTCTAAATTTAAATAAAAAATAACACGAAAGAACAAAATACACTCTGTTGATGTATTTTTTAAAAGATTAATTTATAAGCAATACAGTGTATTTTATAAAATTTATAATTAATTTCATCGTTCAAAACGTTAGATAACTAGTAAATTAATTACGAAGACGGACACTTTAGTCTTATTGCAAGCTTATTTCTTGAGTACATTTAAACTACATTTATAGTTGTTGATCTTACAAAACCCATGGTGGGTTAATATATTTCTGGCTCCCTATCAAACGGGACAATATAGAAAATAATAATATTTTAAAACTGGACATTGCATAAATACTGTTTCGATAAATTCAATGAGGTTTGTTGATTTGTTGAAAATTATAGGATATTTCAAATTAGTTAGGAGTCATTGAGTTGAAGGTCAAGTACTTAAACTTTCTTTTGATAGTTATTTTCAGATTACAATATTTTAAGTGAAGTGTATATATATATATATATATATATATATATATATATATATATATATATATATATATATATATATATCACATAGTTTTTCTCGGGTGGGGGGTGACACCATTAGGTACCACACCGGGTGATACGCGACCTTACGAAGCCACTGGGTCACTAGATTGTGTTTCGTTTAGACAAGTCACTTTATTAATATTGTAAACAATTAGTGCGCACAATCTACCTACTCATTCCTGTGGAAAAAGCATCGTTTTTATCGTAAAATATCAGAATTTGGTGTCAACCCCCCCTCCAGAGTAAAGATGTAAAGATGTTTATCTATGGTCAGTTATTAATACAATCATTGATTGGACTGAAAAAAAGCTTTCTATTTATTTTGCAATTTTTTCGACATGGTGTCACCCCCTAAATTGGGTGACTCGGTGCGGTCCGCACCCCCCCCCCCACCACCCCCACCCCCCACCTCGCTACGCCTCTATTCTAGTCGCATGCCTATCGGCAACTGCGTCGACATTTGTTTGTTATATGTCCTAAAACAGCATAGTCGAACATACGCTGTCTTCAGTTTTAAATATGCGAGCATAAGCTAATGTCAGAGACGTCCGCAAAATTTATTTTGAAGCTTTTTTTCATGTTATTGAAAACAGGAAGCATCTGTGGACAATCAATCAGTTAAGCAAGATCGTTTAAAAACTGATTTAATTAACTAATCAACGTGCAGTAGACCAATCGATCTAACACTTACTATTCTGTATTCGATAAATAAATAAAAATTAAGACAGGTTGATAATTGTATCATCTTTTTTCTACGAAACGGCTTTTAAAAAAAATAGAAGCGTTATACCTGTTAATGTGAATTTGTTGTTAGGCTAGGTTAGATATAATTGATTACTTCCCCCCCCCCCCCATAACATAGGAGGCAACTTATTTTAAAACACATTGCACAATTTAAAACTAGAGAAAATATCAAATTATAAAAAATAACATGTTGACCCCAGGTGGATCGCGAGATATTTTATGAGCGTCGCCGATTTATAGACGAAACTAAACAAAAAATATTCTTTAGTTGTATGGGAGTCGCGAGTCACTTGACTTTTACAAAAAAGGGGTCGCCAATCGCATAAGCTTGAGAACCAGTGCTATACACGTAATTTTGACAAATGTGGTTCTTGAAATTTAGTTCCATTGTTTGGTGGTGTTATTGAAGTTTTCAACGTTTTAAAAACAAAATGTTGAATTGATTGATTAAAACTAATCATAGATTTGATTGTATGTCCACTTTATTAGCAAAAGTTTCAGTATTTATTAATATTATTTATTCGTGTCACTAAAACTTGGGTCGTAAAATTGCGAACTGAAACTCGGCGAGAGGCTCTGTAGATAAAAGATTACGGCTCTTTCTAATGGGTTTAAATTATTCTTACAAAGAACAACGTGGGGATATGTACATTGCACATTTTTCATAAATATCCTCTCCACAAGGCTAAATATTTGTAGTACATTAAAAAGGCTCAAAAAAGATAATCAAACATTACAAGCCGACATACTCTACACACATACCTGATATGCCATTTTACCATAACTGGCTGACCACTTACCTTTTCTAAACATAACGTTAACCGTTGGCAACATACCCCAACCAGACCCGCTACGAATCCCTAACCGGTCCCTCTAGCCTAACCGTCTGGGAACCGCTGCAGAGAATGACTTGAGGCACCAAGTAATGCTGACATCTATCAACCAAATCAGAAACGAAATGAAATCGTGGCGAGATGTCCCTGCTCCTCTGTGTTCTTCTCTAATTGCATTGGCCCGGATAACGTGCTCAACACATTTCTTGTTGCACTGGTAAGGTGCTGAACACATTGCTTGTTGCACTGACAAAGTGCTTAGCACGTTTCTTGTTGAACTTACAAAGTGCTTAGCACATTATTTCTTGTTCTGACATAGTGCTTAGCACATTTCTTGTTACACTGACAAGGTGCTTAGCACATTAATTCTTGCTCTGACAAAATGCTGAACACATTTCTTTTTGCACTGAAAAAGTGATTAGCACATTTCTTGTTGAACTGACAAGGTGCTTAGCACATTTCTTTTGCACTGACGAAGTGCTTAGCACATTTTTTTCTTGCACTAACACGGTGCATAGCACATTTTATTTTGCACTAATAAAGTGCTTAGTACATTTCTTCTTGCACTTAAAAGGTGCTTAGCACATTTCTTGTTGCACTGACTCGGATAACAGCGTCTAGCACATTTCTAGCACATTTCAAGCACATTTTTCACTTCTCCGTATCTTTCCATTCACCCATCTATTCTTTATATCAAAATATTATTCCGATTAAAAAAAAACATTTTAAAAGAAAAGTTAATGGCGACAAAAAGACCCTTGTTTTATAGGTCCCCGCAACGTTTTCAACTCAAGCATTTATATTTCTTTATTTAAAAAAAAATCACTACGATATTTAATAAAAGTAAAATAAAATTTTAGAAGATAATTGCAATCGTTATATTGCTATCTTTCTACCTCCCCTCCCCCACCCCTTATCTGTGATTTAGTCTGCCCCAGGGTACCGGTGAGTTTGAGCGACTGTTCATTTCTTCGGTTGGTCATTAGTCTAACCTCGCTCTTCCTCTTGTAGAACCCCCACCCTCCACTTTTCTTCTCTACCAGATTACCCACCATAACGCATAACGTAAACAGCAAATACACAAAGCTAAGTCGTCAGAACATGTGTTAATGATACAACGTGAGTTGAAGAATAAAATAATGTGTACTCACCCGATATTCTGTATGGGAGACTTCAGGTGGATGGGACAGGTCCTGGTCACGTTAGGGTCAGCCCCCCCGCTGACCACAACCACGGAAAACAAAACCACCAATCCTAACCATCTGGAGATTTTTACCACCGAATTACCACCTTCCATGATTGTGAAATAGTTGTCTAATCACTCTACTTTTCACTTCATTTGCTTTTGTTGTACGTAAATTGATCTGGCCAATCTAAATATAGATCCAGATTTTTCTTTTTCAAAATTTTACTCGAATTTACATATGTTTACGAATGATCTAATTGTAGTTGAACTAGCAATTACAAGAAAACTGCACACAAAAATGTTAAATTTGTATTGTCAACTTTCAACGAAGAGTCACGCATTATTTGATAAAATGTTAGATCCATTTTTAAAATTGAAAGCTGAATTTCAATTCATCAGATGAACAAGTATTCTGTTTCAAACTTTTCCGAAGTAGTTATTTGAATGACATCACTTCAGGATTATTAATTTTTTTCATATAATCATTTTCATTTTGAATTATTCGCTGTTTTAATGCAAACTTAATACAAACATATCAACTTTGAATTGATAACGTCTTAAAGAAAAGAATCTTTTTCAATGGAAAAAAAAGCAGCTTTTTAAAAACCACAATTAAAACAAAATATTTACGCTTTAAAAAAATCAAGCTTTATGAATTTTTTTATGCAAATCAAAATCCGCACAATTTCTTTACCGACACGGCAAAACGTCTTCATCAACCGCTAGCCGAGGCAAACGTGAGGGCCGGAAAGTGCCGGCACGGTTCCATGGTAAGCCACAGCATCTGACGGTTTGAGACGACGTCTAGTGGCAGCTAAAGGATGAGGGGTGTGGGGGGGGGGGGGGGGGGGTGGGGGGTGTGGGGGTAAATCCTGGAGACGGAAGGGTAAGGGGTAGGAGAGGTGCAAGCGATGATTTATAGAGAAGGCGGGCACTAAAAGTAAAAGGGGAGAGAAAAAAAACCTACTCTCGTCACACCGCGGGAGTGCGAGAGTATAGCAGACATATTTTTGTTACGTCACATCTGTTACCTGGCAAACGCTAATTTAGTTATTCGCGGTTTTTGTGTGTTTTAGGTATTGGAGGCTTTAATCTGAGATGAAGCTTTACGATTTGTCAACAAAGGTGGGAAAATCGGTAAATGGACAGCCATATATTTACATACATACGTACATTTATATATATATATATGCATATATATATATATATATATATATATATATATATATATATATATATATATATATATAATATATAATATAATATATAATATATATATATATATATATATATATATATATATATATATATATATATATATATATATACATATATGTATATGTATTTTTTTATTTATTTATATGCGTATGTGTGTGTGTGTGTAATATAACCGCCCAGAACCAACCACCCTTACACCCACCCTATATGCTCCAATTGCAATGATCTTTCACCGCGATGATATTTGTAATCGACAATTTCTGTTTAGGTCATTCGTTCAATGTCACGAGACACGTTATCATCAGCTTGACGTCAAATCTCGTTGGTCTCGTGTCATAGTGCCATATGTCACAATGTCACGAGACACGTTGTCATCAGCTTGACGACAAACCTCATTGGTCACGTGTCATAGTGCCATGTGTCACAATGTCACGTGACACGAGACACGTTGTCATCAGCTTGACGTCAAATCTCGTTGGTCACGTGTCATAGTGCCATATGTCACAATGTCACGTGACACGAGACACGTTGTCATCAGCTTGACGTCAAACATCATTGGTCACGTTACTTTATAGATGACACCTTTTGCTTTTTAGTATTATGTGTCATTTTGTCACGTGCCATGTGTCAGAATGTCACGAAGCATAGTATTACGCCGCTTAGTACCAAGTGACGCATTATCTTCTCATCCGTCTAGGAGGTCTGGACACTATAGCTTGACACTTACACGGATTGTCGCTGTTCGGATCAGGTTAGGTAAAAAGTCTTGACCGATTTCCACTGTTCAAATCAATGTTTAAATCGTGTTTGTTGTGGAGCTATTGTGCAGCCAAAAGCGCAACATCAGTGACTTCAATACACAGCTAACCAAGGTATTCCTTGAAAAACGAATGTAATTGTATTTACCTGTGTAATTACCTGTGTAATTACCTGTAACAGATTACCTGATATCGTTTACCTGTGTCAGGCATTACTTTGTGCTTTCGTCAGTGGCGTAGGCAAGGGGGGGGGGGGTAGGGGGGTCATAACCCCCCCCCCCCTCATTGACCCCTCGGTATATATATAAAAAGTATGAGGGGGGATGCAAATCGAAAGTTTGAGGGGGTGAAGGGGTGGGGGTGCAAATCGAAAGTTTGATGGGGGGGGGGGTGCAAATCGAAAGTTTTTTTTCCCGGGTAAAAATTGGAACCCCCCCCCCCCCCCCTGAGACGATCCTCGCTACGCCACTGGCTTTCGTCAAGTACTGTTTTAGCCAGTTATTATGAGTTGTTCTTTCAAGAAACAGGTATACAATATCAGCTGAGTCACAGGTGATAAGATATAACACGGCTTGGTCTTGTGTTCAGATGCAATTAATATTTGACTTAATGATGTGCTTACATATGACTTAGTGTTGTATTCAAATGCAGCCATATATGACTTAACGCTGTGTTTACAATGACGTGGTGATGTGTTGAGACGCAGCCATATATGTTGAAACATGATCTGTATTGTGGAATACATACTCACACCCGTAATCATGCATTTTTAAATATTTAAAAAAAAACTGTTAATAGACTGTGAATATGGTATACAACTTCATCAGTTGTTAAAGGTTCTTCGGATTATAATAATTACTGCAACAAAAGTCCATTGTTAATTTCTTCTCCTTCGTTCACAATTTTAGTTCTCTACGAGTTCCTTATACGGTTGAAGTTATTTTGATTTTGGAGTTGTCTCTCCTAGAAGAGTTGCTGTCCCCCGCTATCGAACCTCATCTGCCCCGAGGATACAAACTAGAGGTTTTTCGGTTTAGCAACCACGAGCTTTACCTACTCGACCACGCCGATCCAGCATTTAACTATATGTCAACAACACTTTGCTTTTCTTCCGATAGAGCATACATTTTTACAAAATTTGGCTGAATTAAATATACCTTTTGTAACGTACATATTGAACGTACAGATGTTGCTGAAATCGTGAAAGTAAATTTTGATTGGGGATGAAAATCTGATTCAATCGCCTGGACTTGGCGAAAATTAATTGTTTTTGGACTGGTGTTTTATGTAAACATTTTTAGCGTCTTCTCAAATAAGTGACACCTGCTGCATATTTCTAGTTATTCTGTTTGTGTGTGTGTGTGTGGGGGGGGGGGGTGCAGGCGACATCTGATGGTGCGACGATGGGGGGAGGGGTTATATGTGTAGACCGCATGTGCGGGTATTCTGATACAACAAAAATAGTAAACAGTAGAAGGGAGATAACTTATTAACATTTCTAATTTTAAAATAAAAATTATCCGAAAGAACAAAATACATCACACTGATATATGTTTGAAAAGATACTTTGAAAACAATAATATGTACTTTACAAAATGTATTATTTGTTTCAATATTCAACATTTTAAAAAAGTAATAAATTAATTATGAATATAGACACTTTAATAGCTCTATTACAAGCTAAGTTCTTAAATTCATTTAAACTAGTATGTAAGGTATGTTTATAATTTTCTTTTTTAATAAATTTCTGGATCCCTATCATAGGGACAAAAAGACGATCCAAAACAAAAAAAAAATACCAGAACCCACTAAAGCCACGTGCCCAGAACAAACTACAAATATCCCTTACCACCTTACCCTCTCCCCTCACCACCAAAACTAAACAACTCACCACCAAACCTAAACAACTCCACACCAAACCTAATCAAATCAACACCAAACCTAAACATCTAAAATTAATTGTAAATTACTGGACGTGGGTTTCATGGAAACATTTTTTGAGTGTTCAAAAATGAGTGACTCCTGATGCACATTTCTTGTTTTTGTGTGTGTGTGTGTGGTGAGGGGTGCAGGCGTAATATGGGGGAGTGACGGTGGAGGGGGGGGGGGGGGGGGGTATATGTGTAAACCGCATGTGCGGGTGTTTGGGTATTAAAAAAATAGTAAAGATATTTCTTTAAACGGAATTAACTAATTGACATTTCTAATTTGAAAATAAAAACAATACCAAAAACAAAATACAATACACTTATGTATGTTTTAAAAAAAATAATTTTTTAAACAATAATATATACTTTATAAAATGATAATTTGGCTAAATTTTTTTTACTAGTTTTTATAAATCAACTCCCTCACACATGCGGTCTACATCAGGGGTCGGCAACCTTTTACTACTGAAGAGCCAAAAGTTACAATTTACAAAATTTCCCAGTTTTTAAAGAGCCACTAACATTTTTATTTCAAAATTTTGGCATTTGATTAGGATTTTTGTTTCTATATTTTGGTATTTGATTAGGATTAGGTAAATACATTTTATTTGTTATTTAAAATAAATAGCTTTAAATATGCATTAATATTAATTCATGAAAAAAATACACATGTTTCACCAGAATACTAAATTAGTAATCAAGTAATTTATTTATAGGACTATCCCAATTGACTGCAAAATTATCAATGTTTTAAATACACATTGTTGTTTATAATTTAATCTATTAAATAATACGAGCTGACCCGCGCCGCAGCATACGCCGCTATCTAGTTGTTTTCTTTTCTACTTATCAACAATTCATAATTTGTGAAGTCGACACTATCCCACCCCCTACCTAAACAAATCATCATCAAGTCTAAACAAATCAAGGGAGATAACTTATTGACATTTCTAATTTTACAAAAAACATAATACGAAAGAAAAAAATACACTACACTGATGTATGTCTTAAAAGATTAATTTGTAGGCAATAATGCGTACTTTTTAAAATAATAGTTTGGTTAAATTATCAAAACGTTAGATAAGAAAAAAAAATAATTACGGAAAGAGACACTTTAACTTTTATACAAGCTTAGTTCTTGAGTTCTTTTTAAACTACACTTAACTTATTTTTACTGGATAAAAAACTTACGGCTATTTCTGGATTC